AGATATTAAGAACCGTGCGAGTTTGACGCTTTGGATATCACTGCGATATGGGCTATCTGGATAAGAGTAAGTTTTGCATCTGGCATAAGCTTAACTTTATGCTTTTTTAGAAACTATTGAGAGTTTTCTACCAGATTTACAGGCATATTTAATTGACTCATGCCCATTTTATGCATACATCTCGGAGCAGTTGAATGAGATACTTTTTTTTTGCATCGAATATTACAAATATCATTATAAACAATTATAGGTGATTTTCCTAGTTTTGCTCGAGTTTCACTGTAAGCCCGTATTTCACGTCTTTTAACAGAGCGTTTACTAGCCATATTTTATGAGTAAGGTCTTTCTAAATGAGATTGAAAGGTCTTGTTTATGATAGTGTCACCCCTACTGATTGGGCTAGCCATTTCTGACTTCCGAGACACCTTTTGCTTGAATACCGTGTACATCCCAACTCCTACCACTATGCCAGGCGCCAGGCGGATAGAAAAATTGGTAACCATTTATTCTAACTGAAGCGACCATTTGGAATTAGTCACACGAAAAACATTCACCCTTCAATTAACGCTCCCCATGAGGCTCGAACCTTCGACCTCCCGATCCGAATGCGGACGCCTTAACCACTAGGCCAACGGTACCGGTTAAAGAAGTCTTTAACCGGTTAATTACACACATGCTATAAGTTTCCTTTGAGAACAGATACTTTGGAAAATACCATAGTTAATATAAACACAACAATGACGAGCTTAATTATAAAATATACTTCATACTGAATTATATATTGACTCTCCCTCGTAAGTATGGAGATACACATCCCTTATGCTTGGCTTATAAAGCAAATAATAAAAGGTATGTGTGTAAACTTGTTACAACATTTTCTTCTTGTCATATTACTTCTAAAATAGCAATGTTCAATTTGCAGAATGGTGTTTTTTTAATTCAATATTTCTCTGGTATATTGATGTGCTGAAATTTCACAATTTGCCACAAATCAAAATTTTACAAAAAAAATTGTAAAATATCGTGATGATATCAGATGTTACAGTCACGAGTTGCAAGTAGGTCACCGAATTCTCTTTAGATATGACTTATGACTTATGGAGCAAAACATTGCCTTCTCTTGAAAGATAAGAATTGGTTACTTTAAATACTATTTTTAAGGCCCTTCTTGTATTGTGTTATTGTGTTTCATACATTATACGTGTAAAACAACCTTAGGCCTGGTTTGAGAAATCTTACTTTTTTACAACAAGTACTGCATACTTATGCAATAAGCTAGGACTGCCTCATAAATTAATATGAAACACACTGTCGATGGGTGCTGTATTACAAAACAAAAAATTATCAATTATCAAATCTCCTCTATCTATGTTATGTTTTGATATTATCTATAAACACCATATTCCCGACATAGGTATTAAAGACGTTAATACTTGGTTGCTGCTCGCTATTATGTGATAGTGGCACAAAGATGTCCATAACGACTTGAGGGTAATTATCTCATAATAGGGAGCGGCAACTAACCTTGAGTAATCTATTAGTTTTAAACCTTAGTAATGTCTTGTTTGCCACAAAACAGTTATATTTCGTTACATTGACAGTACAAGTTTTGTTTACAAAAAAGAAGAAGGAAATATTTGAAAAGTTGCTAATTTTTAATGTTCGCAGTTTATTAGTCATTAAATTTCTCGATTATCTGTAGTAAAATCTTAAGGTTGTTGCCGTTATATCTATTGAACATGAAACATGTGTAAGAGTATACAACGATACTTTTTACAAAATGCTGTTCTACTGGTTGTCATTTTAGCTACACTGAAATTGACATGATCATTTGTTGCTTTGCCGACCAATTTTCTCGAGACGTCATCTTTTCATGCCTACAGTAATTCAACGTGAACTTCATATGAATTAGATTGTCATTAAAACTTAAAAAAGACCGTGTATTCTGCAGTCATTTACTGAGCAACATCTTTTGTAATTATGTAAACAATAAATATTAAAATGATTAATATAATTTGAATATATAAAAAGACAAACGTATCAATTTAGGTACTAATGTAAAAACTGTTCTCCTTTTCCAACTACTTTTTGATCGTTCCTTACTCGTACGATTGCATAAAAACCCTGCTTTAAACTTCAATTGGCATATACACTGTACTGATACAACAGTTTCCGGTAAGTGTTTGAAAAACATTAAATGAGAATTATCAAAACTGTATGAATAGATTTTATACAACATTAATTACTTATATAACAAATATTTGTTTAAGTCAAATAAAATGATACTGAATGTATTGATATAACAGAAGTAGTTGAAGGTTTAAATTCTGAAAGCCTTGATGAAATTAAGAAAGATATATTTAATGAATTATTATATTTCATATGAAATCTTGAAAACAGTTTAATAATTGAAAAAAGGTTCTGGTAGAAGAGATGATGGTACGATTCCTGATTTTTTTATTTTTTCAATTGAAATGTTATTATGTACCTATTTTGTATAGCTATTTTAACAAAATTTATAACAAAGGTTTATTTCCAGAATCATGGACAAAGTCCGTAATTGTTACAATTTATAAAAAAGTGATAAAAATAACTCAAATAATTATAGAGGAATATCTTAATCAAACATTTTGGAAAAAATATACACTTGAATACTCTCTAGAAGACTTAACTTTTTATTTTGTAAATGTTTTTGGAATATTCAATGAGGAACAAGCAGGTTTTAGAGAAGAGTATTCAACCATTGACAATGCTTTTATTTTGCAATCTATTGTAAGTAAACAGTTACAAAAAATCATGGTAAATTGTATATAGGCATGATTGATTTTAAGAAAGCTTTTGATATGACTAATAGAGATAAGCTTTGGAAAGTTATGTGTAAAAATTGGATTGAGGGACAATTATATAGGGCAATGAAGTCTATTTATCATTCAGTTAAATCTTGTGCTCGACCTTTCGAAGGTTTGACAAACTATTTTAATTTTGACAATGGACTTAAGCAAGGCTGTTTGATTTATCAAACACTTTTTATTATCTTTATACATGAACTCATCATAAATTTGAAAAAAAGTGAAATAAAAGGAGTTCAATTTTTTCCAGAAAATACATAATTTATGTCTCTCCGTTTTGCAGATGATTTAGCCCTTATAAATGAAACAGTTGTAGGTTATCAAAGACAGTTAAATAAACTTATTCTGAATAATGAATAATGAAAATGGCTTAGATGTGAATCTTGAAAAAAAACCAACTTGAAGATATTATTATTTAAAAAGGGAGGTAGACTACATGTTGTTCTAATAAAGAGAAATGGTATTATGATGGTAAATTATTGGAAACTGTTTCTCAATTTTTATATATTGGTGTAACAATGTCAAGACAAAAGTCAATATTTAAAATGGCTGATTAACAGATTAACAAGCTATTAAAGAAAAAAGGTTCTTATATCTATTTTATCAAATCTATACAAATATGGTCAGCTTAAAAAACATGTATATTTTAATATATTTGATACAAAAGTAGTTCCAATATTATGTTATGGGTCTGAACTGTGGTGGTCAATTAGACATTAAAATAGTGAAACCGAACATACTCATGCAGTTATGCTTGTAAAAGATACATGTGTGTTAAACAATCAACCGCAATTGCATCAGTTTTAGGAGATTGTGGCCGTTTTCCATTGTACATAACTACTGCATCGAGAATTTTAGTAAATTGGTTTAAGATATTAAGCTTACCTAATGATCGATACGTGAAACAATGTTATAAATTTTTGCATATATGATAGGAATAGAATGAAGAATTCGGCTACTAACATTAAACAGCTACTATATACTAATGGTTTTGGATATGTTTGGAATAACCAGGGAGTTGATGATAAGAATTTGTTTCTAAAAATATTTGTAGATAGAATGAGAGATCAATATAGACAGGACAAGCACGAAACATTAAATCAAAGTAAAAAGTTAGATTCATATCGCTTGTATAAATCTGAGTTTATCCATGAGACATATTTATCTGTTGTTTTAATTAAATTTAGAAATGCACTTGCAAAATTACGTACTTCATCACATGATATAAATATTGAAAGAGGTAGATATAGACAAGAAGAGAGACCTGAGCGTATATGTAATTTATGTAAAGTTTTAGTAGAAACAAAATATCAATTGGTAATGATATGAAAATTTAAGATCAAAATACTTATCAAGCAAATATTTTGTTAATCCAAACATTCATAAATTTAATATCTTAATGAGTTGTCAGGCTGAACATATTATAGATAATTTGGCAAAGTTTGTGTCCCATGCCTTTGAAGAAAGAAAAATATTATTAAGTGTTTGGACTTGACTAAATATGATAAGGTACACCACAAGATAGTAACAAGATTTTTGTCTAAACATGATGCTACTTGTACTATATTCCATTGTGTGTACATGTATTGATATGTATATGATGTTTTGGACCAGAGGCCTTGAATCAATAACCTCTTTGTCATTGTCATATATACAAAAGAATCATTATTGTTACGTATATGAGCACAAGTCAAATAAATGAAACATGCGTTTTATGCAGCATCTGTATTCTTGTTTTAGAATAATTGTTTAAACATGAAGCTAAAAGGTCAATAAATCATAATTCGAGGGTCTTATATGCACAACGATATTCACGGGTATAGTCATTACCGTCATTTTCTAAAATAATTATGAACAATTCGCCAACAGCACCCTCATCCTCATAAAATTTACTCGCCAAGACAACTTTCTTATTAAATCATGTGAAGTTAATTATGCATTAAAATATCAATTCATGGACGGCAATTTCAACGCAAATGATATTTACCCTAAACGTTTTTCATTTAAACCGAAAAGAAAGAAGGGATCCTAAAAATATAGCAAAAAAGTATAAAATTTGAATTCATTGTAACCTTATCGGCGCTTTTAAGTGAAGTAAAAGTCTGTAACTAAGAAAATACGTTTCTGCCTATCACTTATTTTATTTATTTTCAGTTTCTCAAAAGACAATGAGGCTTTTTGTTTTAACGGCTTTACTTGTACCTTGTCTCTCATTTCAAGAGGTAAGTTTGTAATCACTTTAATCGGAACATGTTTAAATTTTTTTTCGAACTAATATTTTGCTTTTGTTAAAAGTGTTCTGATAATTCATATATGATACTATCATTTTCAAAAAAATCATTCGAACTGATTTTACATCCAGCTGCACATTATTTGAAAGGCAATCATTTATCCATAACGGGTTATCTGTTCAACATCTGAAATTTGTATAAAGTCAACTTTCTGCACTGGGAAAATAATGTGAGCAAACTCATCTGATTTCAATTATTAATAATGATTTTTGTATGCTTGCAAAACTCAAAAGAAAAATAATTCATGTTGCTATATAAGTGACCGTATCACATAATTATTTTCAAGAATGACATATATTGAAAGATAATAACGACTTTTCAGACAAGGTGATAAGAAAACTAAACTAAAGCAAAGTATCAACTAATCATTTTGAAAGAAGAATATTAAAGATATCAAATACTAATATGAAAATACTGATGACGTATTACCAAGCCATGTATTCATATTTACATGATGTGCATTCACTTGTTTCCACTGTGATCCAGGTTGTATATAGAGGATATTTGTTTAGTTCTGTGTAAGATCGGAATATATTTCACCGAGTGAGCACCAAAAGGTATAATATGAACTTTTGGTGTTCACAAGGTGAACTATATTTCGATCTTACACTAAACTAAACAAATTTTCTTTTTATTACATGCAAAGAAACGTTTTAAAAAGACATTAAACCTAATACTGAATGAAAAGCGCGCCAAATAATAATACAACGTGACGTCATTTACGACGTCACGTCATTAAGTTGGTACCCAGTACTGTGCACGCTTGTATTTCACTGAAACAACGTAAGGGGCTTAAATTCAAAACAGTGAAATTATCAAAGTGGTAATTTCACTGTTTCAAACAGTGAAATTACCAATTTCATATCACTGATATATTTCTATAAACCACCGAAAAGCATGTAATAAAATGACATATTCTAGCAAGGCACACACAAGTATTACAATGTATTACAAAATGAAACATAAAACATTCAATAAGAAATTTTAAAAGTAAAATATCACAAGACTTAACCTTCAACTGTTGCAGGTTGGTCAAATTCTATAAATATTTTGGTAGTAAAGGAAATAAATCATTGTACATGATAGACATTTTACCAAAGCCTTTATTTGAGATTTTTTAAACAAGACCCATTACGAAACTTTTCTCTATGTACAGTATTGTCTAGAGTGATATATTCATTTATGTAAAGTAGAACCTATATGTACTTAAACTGTATTTAATAAACAATACTGCTACATTTAATTACATTATCATATGTAGGTAAGTTAAATAGGCCCGTGTGCAGGTATGTGAACGGTGCAATCAGGGACGCTACCAGAAATTAATCATACTTTGCTACGTACAGGAATGGATGAACCTTTACACAACTTTGTGATTTCCAAAAGACACAGATCTGTTCATTTCAGAAAGCGTTATGTGATTATTATCGTACAATGTCGTTAATATCTTTTGTTTTGATGCTTTATTTCCTAAGATTTCGTATTTTTTATTTTACTTATGTCTCCCAAAATTTTAGAAGACATGTTGTTTTTGCCTTCGCTGCCTGTCTGTCCGTTCGTTCATCCGTCTGCATTCAGCTTGTCCGGCCTCACAGGTCATACTGCTGGCGGGATTTAAATTCACACGAGCGCAAAAAAAAATATTTATCCGTCTTTCACATGTCAACTGCTGTGGGATTTCGACGAAACAGGAGTGATCAGTACAATCCCAAGTTATTTTTATACCGCTAGAATATTCTGCTTCGCTGCACAAAATGGCCGTCAGAGCTCGAAAAAAAGATTGTCCGGCTTTCACAGGTCAAGCTGTTTTTGAGATCACAATGAAACTTCACAGTAGTGATCAGTACCATCCTTAATTGTGCATATCGCCGGCAAGTTCCGCTTGTCTGCAAAAAATGACCACCAGAGCTTAAAATAAATATAACGTGTCCGTCCCTCACTTGGGATTTCGACGAAACTCGAGTGATCAGTACCATCCCTAGTTTTTTATATTGCCAGAATGTTCTGCTTCGCTGCACACAATGGCCGCCTGCGCATTCAAACAGGAATGATCTGCACCATCCCTAGTTATCATATCGCCGGCATATTCTGCTTGGCTGCACAAAATTGCTGCCAGAGCTTTAAATAGAAAAATCTTGTCTGACTTTTACAGGTCAAACATATTGTTTGATTTTACTCAAATTTCACTGAAGTGATCAGTACCATTCTTATTTGTGTATATCTCTGGCATGCTTCGCTTCACAAATGCTTTTTGGATTTCAATGATACTTCACAGGAGCGATCAGTACTATACAGAGTTGTGCATATCGCCGGCATGTTTTGTGTAGCTTCACTATATAGCTGTCAGAGCTATAAATAGAGAAATCTTGTTTACCTTTCACAGGTCAAACGGCAGGTGGGATTTTGATCAATGTACTCAGGAGTGATCAATACCATACCTAATTTAGGGAGACATATTTCTTTTGTGACAAAAACCAGTTCTAGTTAACTTATGCTGTTAATTTTAACGAGAACGATTTCGTAATATATATTAAAACACATTTGCTGCGATAGCATAGAATATTTCTTTTTATACAAATAATCTTGTTTGACAGACGCACCATTTTGTTCATCTAATGGAGGATGGTAAAACCATTCATCAGGATATAATACACGATAAGAATGAAAATACTGTTTTGGTCATCGTCGGAGATGTATCCATGTACAAACATGCCATCCCAACCATCAATTATCATGACTATAATACGGTAAGAGAGTCTTAAATTCTTTTTTTGTTAGTAAAGTTACAACTCAACATCACTTTCACAGATAAGAAATACTTAAGGTATTACAATTAGTCTTCTCATACATAGAAGAAATATTAGTTTTAACTATTAATATAGGTTTTATAACCTCAGATCCCCTTTCAAAATTCCATTTTATTTAGTTCCGCTCATTGTTTTCTCGTTTAGGGCGCACACGCTTTCTTTTACTTGGGGATCATACGCCGCTTTTTATGGAATGACACTACCGTGTCACATTGAAGGTTCCATGATAACCGCCGTATGAACACATCTGCGGATGTTTCTAAATTCAAAATTTCACCATTTTAGTGTTTAAATGTTGAATTCTGCTTAAGCCGGTGCTACGGGGGCGTGGACGGTAACTTGCAATTTCCATTACCGCCCATGAACAGGCTCAATCAAACCGAGCCTGCAACATTTTACAATTTTGCCGTGTTGGGCTTTCTTTAGGGATTCTGTTTTCACTATTTTATGTTCCTGCACTGGTAAAAAACAAATAGTTCACGTGTGGCGGTATTACCGAATGAAATATTATAATTTTAGGCCATGAGTTGAAAATAAATCCCGTACTTATAGAAAAAAGTTTTTTTTGTCTCCTTATTATAACGCTTTTCTCTTTTTACCTTATGATTCAAAAGATTTCGTCTTATTTTTTCCTTTTGGCTGAACATTAAAGATCAAAGTCCAAGACATCAGTGAAAAAAGGAAAAGAAAAAATTTATAGTTAAAGTACGGAAAATGAATTTTCTATGGTTTCATATAATTTATTTGATGCTCAAATAAAGATCTATCAATATTGAAAGTTACAAAAAGCATTATTTGTAAAGATAGTACCAAATTAAAAAAGATATGTAAATACAGGGAGGTTATTAGAATTTATTTTCGATAAAGTCTCAGCCAGTTGTTTCCATAAAAAAATGAATGCATTTATTTTAACGTGTAATTATGAGGTATATTTACATTTGCTGTACATATTCAACATATTTTTGGATGTTTGAAAATTATTTAGAAGAATAATTATTTACATATATAAAACTTTACTTAACTACGTGGTACATTAATGTTCTTTCAGGGATATGTTGCTTTCAAAGACATCAAACGAGAAATGTGTTCTTTGTCAAGGGTACCATTTCCGAAACCATCTCTAGAATTGTTTAGACAGGCATGTATCTGCACTTCTTAGTTTTAACATTTTTACTCATGTTTAACACAATACGCATGATATTTTCGTGACATTTTTCATAATCTGATAGATAGCATTTATGCTTTTTATTATGAACAGATCAATTTGCACATTGTGAAAAATACTTTTTTATTTAATTTTTATGTAAGAATGATCTCTGCATAGAAATGTCATGATTATTTTGTTAATAAAATCTTGTTAATTATAGGGTGTGTCGAATGAAACAATGCGATTTACGGGTCAATATGATTCAGCACCTCTAACGAACTCAAAGGTGAGAGAGATAGCAGGATCAAAGATCGCAGAATTTTGCAAAGATTATGTTACCTTTTCCAGAACACTGATTCCAAACCAAATGGACAAAAGAAGTGGTAAGAAAACTAAGATGGTTATTCGTGGTAGTTAATCGTTTATATATATTATTTAAAGAGAGAATTTGACAGGAAACACTTTCATTCAAAAACAGAAATAAATGGTTTACATTCATAAGAAAGATACACAGAATACATATTTGGTCAGACACAAAGATTTAAATTTGTCAAATGCACCGTTTGTATTTTTATCTGTTGTTGAAGAACCCGGATGACAAAAATTTATATACGATACTTATCTGTAATTGACACTTTCGAAATTCCATGAGACATCATGAGGTTAGCCAAAATCACCTTTCATGTTTCGGCGCCATATGACCTAAATTGTATTTGTGCGCCGTAAAACGAAACAAAAACAAACAGAAAACATGACACAAACAGTAAGATTTGACAATTAAAAACTTTATGAAACCATAACGATATCATCTACTTACTTGCAGTCGACAATTTTCATTTGACTTCTTATTGAATCCGTATGAAACATTCTACATTTTAAAAGAAGTACGCAAAAATAAATTCTTAATGCAGAGTCAGCTAGATATCATTTATAGATAACTATAAAATGGAGAATGATTAGTTTCTGGAATAGATAATCAGCGAAAAACCAAACAAAATGACATGTAAATTATTTCAATAAATTTACAACTTAGAGGATCACAATTCAAAATGGCTGAATAAAATAACACAATATTAAATGAAACAGGGAATAACTTGGCAAAGCCAGGCCAGAAGAATATCATAAAACAAATTCTACTTCAAAATATCTGAAACTGTAATTAAACGTACTATAAAAAACGAACATGTTTGAAAATAAAGTTATTAACTATTGATTTGCGACAAAGGACATGTAAATTCATCAGAATTTTGTTGCATGTTATAAAGTTAAGTAACGTCTGCAAGTAATTTTTTAAGCAAAAAAAACAACAAAATAATAAATCTGCTTTGTTGTTTTCACTATTTATCTATCATTTTATATACCGTATAAGATGTATTTTCTGCGGGCTCCAAATTCTGCGGTTTTTCCAATTATTGGCATGTTTTATTTCTGCGGACTTTATTTCTGCGGCACATTCTTTGGACGAAACGTGATTTAAATTCTGCGACTCTTCATATCAAAGTCTAAGTCACATTACTCTACCTATTTTGTTTGCATGTTCTCGCTCGCATTCGTTTATCATTGTCACCGCAAAACTGTATAGTGATTACAGACAATCATTTTGTATATGGCACAACAATTGAAAAGTATGCATCTTTTGATCAGCGTAAAATGACGTGTGAAACATATACCTCGGTAGTATATTAAATATAATAAAACTGATAGAAGTTATAGTCTGATTTTATTAACCTGTCAATTATGAATACATTATAGGACTCATTTAAATAATCGATCCCACTTCGGTTTGGTCCGTGTAGTTTACGAGAATTAATGTGGAGTATATAAGTCATGGATTGAAAGTCACAACAACTTTATGTGAAGGTTTTCGTTAATTCACAATAGGACAGTCGGTAAAGAGAATGCCTGATAATTGAGAGGTCTGTGGTTCGATCCTCACTGTTGCCATTGTTTTAGTATTCTTTCTTTATTTTTTCAGTGTATTTTAATGGAACAGATTTGTAGTGTGTTTTACGGCATTTAAAAGACATTTATTGATTTTAATCCGTTTTAATTTTAAATATGAATTCTTAAAAAAACATGTTATTTAAAAAGAGTATATACATAACAAAATTAAGTAAAACATAAAAAAACGAACAACATAAAATAATCATATATAGATTCAATAATGTTGAAAGTATTAATAAGAAAAAAACATGGACCAACGCGGCCTCGAACTTAAAACACGTTTGGCACTTAGATTATAAACTCGTGATTTACCCCATTGCGCTATAACGCTGAGTACACTTAGTTTAGAGATACAAATTAAATCAAATTCCATCGTACAGCGTAAATCTCACGGAACTTACCGAACATCTACCGAAGATTAATATACTGTGTGCATCGACCGTGTAATCAGTATGTAATTGACAGGTTAATAAAACCAAACAATTGTTTGATTTTATTAACCTGTCAAATCCATACTGATTATACGGTCAATGCACAGAATATATTTATATTCGATAAATGTTCGGTAAATTCCGTGAGATTTAAGCAGTAAGATATGATTAAATTCATCTGGTTTCTATGCATAAGTTACACTGACCGTTATAGCGCAATAGGGTAAACTACGGGTATATAATTTCTTAAAGTCCTACGTGTTGTAAAATCGAGACAGCGTATGTCCATGCATTTTTTCTTATTCATAACTATTTCAACTTTTTTGAAGTTAATGTTGTTCTTTCTGTTTTAATAGGTTTTGCACTTTTTTGTTAATACTATACTTTTGTATATAACATTGTTAAAGAATTAATATTCAAAATTCATTCGGATTAAGATCAATAAGTGTCATTTTAGTGCCGTAAAATACTATACAAAACGTGACAATTCAGTGTTTCTTAGTTGTTTCATATCTGTGTAGAAAATTCTGAAAGCGCTTGACCATTTACGTTATAATATACTTAAAAATAAAGAAAAAATAAGTTTTAAAATAAGTGACGTTTAAAAAATGTCAAAAGAAGGGATCGAACCTCGGACCTCTCATACATTAGGTAATCACTTAACCGACTTTGCTATTGCAGATGTTGCGAGAACCTACATTAAGCTAGTGGGAGTGTTCCAAACGTTAGCTATATACTCCATATTAATTCTCGTAAAATAAACGGACAAAACCGAAGTAGGATCGAATATTTAAATGAGGGCTATAATGTATTCATAATTGACAGGTCAATAAAATCAGACTATACTTGATGATCCGCTTTCCGTTATTAACTGTTAATTTATATTATTTTAGACGAAACAGGTCATAATGTAGGACACATATCGTAACAAGTGAAAAACAAAACATGGAGAAATATTCAGCGGTTTTGATTTCTGCGGTGCTGAACCTGACCGCAGAATACGCAGAAATAAAGTCACCGCAGAAAAAACACTTATACGGTAGTATATTGTGATCAGTTCTTTTATAAGAGCATATCCTTTCTTCCCTTTTCTTGTTTGAAGATCCCTTATCCTAGGTTATATAAAGTATCTTAACAACTAAGAACTAAGTTACTGCTTACGATGTAACATTCATCGCTAGCAGTTTAGAGTTTTGAAAATAACTGGTCTTACCTCGTTTTCATAACACGTGCTAAGTAAATGTACCACTACATTGGACGAATGTAAAATTGTTCCAGTAATCAAAAATGATCTTTCAATTAGGGAAGAGACCCAATCAAGAAACTTGTTTGAAAAATGCTTTATCTGAACTAACCTTATGACACTACATTTTTATGGGCATTTTTACCTTATGTGCATGATTTATAAAACTTTAAGAGAGGTATTGCTATATCCCATCCACACAAAAAGATAAGACTTGTTTTCCTATGTCTTGGTCTACATACAACAAGTGACTCTCGAAGCAGGGCCAATTTTTGTCCTAAGGGTCAAGATAAATATAACTTTTGTTGAAATCTACCTATTGACGATACATGTCAAATATCTTAGCGCTCTCTATGTGTAGCTTCACACATTCTGACTTAAATGTCTTTTCCTATATATATATCTGTATTAATCAAGGGACCTACATTGACCTAAAGGGTATGATTGAACAAGGCAATGCTACTGGACAAAAATTGAAAACCTAGGCTTTATAGTTTCACAAAATAATACTATAATGTATCATCTCTTACAACACTATATCAACTTTATGACCCCAAGAGAGGACTTATAATAAACATAATAAACAAAAACCTCTTTTGGAGAGGTCAACAAGGAAATACTACATGTCAAATAAAAGTCAAACATGCGTCCTGCACACCAACTCATTATGGTTAAAATATCTTCTAAGTAGTTTCCATTTCCTTCCATCGGTTCATAAGATACAGACCAGATAAAAGATAATACCAATGAATTAGTCATTTCTGACCCAGTTATTTGTCAAAGGAACACGAATAGCAGGATATCTGGCATTCATTCCAGCATCATGCAATCTCTCCCTTATTGTCATATCCGTACATTTCTTGCGTTTTAAAAGCTGTATTTATTTTGAAAGACAGCGTTTTGGAAATACTGCGCAGATCATTGACAATAATTTATCTTTAATGTTGTTCACTTGTTATACAGCAGAAAAATGCTTTATTTGTAATAACGCACAATGCAATATTTTAGAAACGCTCACTTTTTATAAAGAAGTGTGCGTTATTTCAAATAAAGCACAGTTATGTTAGCTCTAAAAGAGTCACTGGACAATACACAGACTGATTCAGATTGTTGTGATAGGTAGTGGGGTACTGTAGATCAAAGACAATTATGTCGGAAGCATGGACGTTTTTTAATAAAATAGATTCTAAAATTCATTTTTGTGCCATGTGATTAAACAATCATAATTTCCTGACGGATAACGTAATGCTAGCGTGTCATGATTCTTTATTGCAATGTGTTTATGTCTTTGTTTTTCCAACCAATCAGTATTATCCAACATACTTCTGATTGGCTCTAAAGTGTTTGCATTAAATGTACCATAGAAACCCAGATTCTGGTTGAGGAATTAAGGAAAGAAAAAATAGATTAAAATCTGATCCAAATTCTTATTTTTATTTACAATTGCATAAACTTTTATAATATATCGAACCCGACTGTTATGTAGAAATATCATGGCCTTTGGCTGGATCTCGGGTTTCGTCCTTAAAAAAAAAATGTTCTCGGTTTTACGACCTCGATCAACTTCTGTAGAGAAAAACCTTTATTGCCGCCCAGGCACTGATATTTCCACATAACAATCTTGTCGCTATACTATGACATCGGAGTCTTCATGCTTTATCTGTTGTCATACGTGTTAAAATCAATAATTATCTTGCTTGGCTAAAACACAAACGCTATAAAATTTAATCAAGTGTTTATCTCTGCTAATCTTCGAGGCTGTCTTCGGAATAAACGGTGGACCTTATTGAACTTTGTGTAGTAAACAAGTGGAAGTTGTATATTGTTATAAAAGGGTGTTTGTACTCCGGGATTAACTTGGAATCCCTAAAGTGTTCTTATTTCATGAGTCTATACATTTTAAATAAAGAAATCGATTAAATTAAACATATAACACTACCAGTCCGCTACTTTTGTAATTACAAGTGTTCTTCGGGCGCTGCAGTCTTGTGTGCGGTATACGTGCTTCGTGACCCTTTAATGTTGTTTTTTAACGACAAAATTGAAATTGATACAGGCTAGATTTGATTGAATCTGTCCATGGACTGTACCGGAAAATGGCGTCTACGCCCCTTGCACCGGCTTAAGCAAAATTCAACATTTAACATGAAGCGGTAAAACATTAAAAAAATTCATAAGGTCTGCTCTATTATTCCGAACTGCAAAAAGTATTAAAAGGACCCAACCTGAGACTTGAACCTTCAACTGCTTGCACAAGAACATTTTACCTGTCCACCACAAAGCAATTTGTATTGCACAAAGCGAGAAATAAACACTTCGTGTATTAAAAAAATATGTCAAGCCATGCCAATATACGTTCTGTGGTATGCTGACTTTTTAACATATACCTAATTAAAATGTTTACATGTTTTATTTTCAGGCGAAAATGCAGACGAACCATGTAAGCACGTTAAACGAATATTAATTTGCAAATCATCTTTTTTAAGTAGACATAATTTAATAAGATCTGCTTAAAGTCTAAAATAATTTCACACTGAATGTACAAGGAAATATAGAATATATTTATTTTCTATTGTTTATATTTTTTCCTTCTCACCCGATGTTTTCATTTAAAAACCCAAGTTAACTCTGATCTATGAGTGTCTTTATTTATGTGCTCAAAGTTAGTATTCAAATATTTTTTAAATTGATCTGTCTTGATATCACCTTTTACATATATGTTTAATTGCAGGCAGTAGTTTTTGTGTTTGGTGTGTTATTCACTCAGATCTTCCACCCCCAAACAGAAATGGCATGGAGAGCATTACGATTGGGTAACTTCTATCTGCCATTGTACTAAAATTGTGGAATAAACAACGAACTGCAATTTACTCTTTTTTATTAATTGTTTTATTATTATTTGTTTGGGTCGTCAGACCAAACAAATAATGGTAGCGAAATTTCAGAGTCTAATGCTGTTAATTGCAAACGCCGAAAGTAGTCCACTTTTTTTGAAGCGGTTACTTCCCTTTATATGTACACTAACGCCGAAAAATTCAGGGGAGATCACTGCGTAAAGATGTTCAAAGACAGGCGAATTAATTTTCAAGCAAAATATTTCCCGAATGGTCGAAGATTTCTAATATTGTTTTATTGTATTTTCTAATCGAAAATAAGTAAATTCAAAGCGGACATTCAATCTCTGACACAGAAGTTCACAACAAACCTAACAACAAGTAGTTCTCAAAACAGCTTAAAACTAGCGTTTTAACAGAAAGAAATATTTTTATTTTGTTACAAGTATGCAACAAATAACAACGCATTCAAAGTTTAAAAATAGCGTTGGCTAATAGTATTGTCAATAAATGCAAAATCACAAATTACGCGGATGAATATGATTTTATCAATGAAAATACTATTTTTAGCGATGTCGATTACCGAATACTACACAAACCGAGTAGTGGAATATATAGATTCTACATGTCGGACTGTTTGGGCGAGAAGATTTTCGCTAAATTATTTACTTCAATTTTAAACAACAGGTTTATCCTGAACAAAATACCTCGAAATTAATAAGGATTACAAACCCGAAATGCAATGGAAGTTCTAAATCTAGAATGACTTGATGTTATTCAGACATTAATTGTATAACTTCTCCGTGGTGCAGTGGTTAGGCGCTCGCTTAAGGAGTGAGAGGTCTTGAGTTCAAATCCAAGTCGAGGAAACTTTTTTTTTTTAATTCTTTTTTAAGTGTCTTTGTTAAGGAAGTAGCCATGATATGCAAGGATAAAGTGTGACTGTCGTAAAAAGTGAACATAAATGATTTTGTGATACATCTCTAGTTATGCAGAATTCCGTATGTATCAAACTCTGGTGACTGGCAAAATGAATTATAATATATAAAAATAAACTTATACAGGAAAATGCATACATATATACAGTACGATTAAGATTGCAAAGATCAGAAAATACCACAGAATTTGCATCCCTTTGATTCTTTATAAATATACATGCTTATAGTAAGCTCCAGGATTATTTACATCTGTGTAAAGTTGTTACAAGCCCCAATTTAGAATAATATGGTTTTCTTCAGGCCGTTCACATATAAATTCACCGTGGCTGAAGGGTTTTCGCTCTCGCCTAGGAAGCGAGAGGTCTGGAGTTCAAATCCCAGTAAAGGCAACTCATTTTTTTCAAATTGTTTGAGTCAAAGAAACATTGGATTGAATATCAGTGTTGCAATAAGTCTTAATAAGCCAATTTACTACAATTAAAACGCTGGAAAGCATTGGTGGCACTATACATATAATCTCACAACCTGCACCTTTCTTACATTCTGAGACCCAAACAAATTCAGCGCCTTCTGTGCTTTGATATATATATAAGCTATGAGCACAAGGGTGGAAAATAAGGTATAGGTGGCAACAATTCTTCATTCCGCGTAGGCTGCAACAGGTCTAGTATGTAAGTAAAAGGGATATAATAAAGAATTACGCGAAAAATACATGTGAAGCGAGGTTTTTAGGCCGCCATATTGTCTGTTCGCGTAACCGTAAAAGTCACGTGATTTCCTACCGTGATACCATTTACCGATAACGTCTAATCAATAACCATTATATATAAGCCAGTATGGAAACCCTCTATTAATTTTAAGTTTTAATGTTACTTTTGTGATTTTAAGTTTAAATGCTATTTTTGTAAATTTTCGTGAAAATGTTTACTTGTTTGTTCCAAAAACTTATATCAAGTGGAAACAAATTATGGTAGAACAACGTTTAGATTAAAGCACAGTGGTATCGCTTTTAATACATTAATTGAATTCTTGAACATGTATAAGATTCTTTTGTTGACCCTTTTGCAGAGTAAATCTAAAACAAAATGTAAAAAAAAAAAAAAAACAAAAAACAACAAGTGTCAATGATTTTTTAAAAAACCAAATTGCCTTAATCTATCCTAAAACAAATCTTTCACAAAGATCTTATAAAATAACTACATAACCAAAACGTTATAAAATGAAACCTTATCTGGTTACTTCAAGCGTCAGACTTTAGGTTACTTTAATGTTTGTGGATCAAATTGTCAGCACTGGTATTGCTTTATTATTAAGTTTGTAGAAGATAGAAAGTGGGAATGTGCAACATTTTTTTCTCACCTCGCACCTACTTATGCGGCTTTCTACCTTCAACACTGAAATATCTAAAAGAACATGAAAATATAACAAAACTTAGAAAAAGAACGGGCCAATTTTAAAGCTGTCACCCAATAATTTATACTTTATTTGTTTAGATAAAAAGAGATGTCATGTCAAGCAAAATAAGAAGAGTCAATAGCTAGTATCCCTTCTCCAAAACCTAACAATATCCCGATCAGAATCTCCATCTATTATACATCTCATGATCTGCATCATGACTCTTTTATGGTCAACTTTCTAAAATATACCCGGTTTGCACTCTTTCATAATCCTTCATGTACAGACTTAATCAAACCGTTTCTGCAATGTTAATGCTATTTTGTTGTGATTAATGCATTCGAAGATCACCATTTCTCCGGATTTTTATACATGATAATATCAGGTGTCAAGTGATGTGTGGCAGCTATAAAAAGTTGCCTCGTATTTTATGTCAGTGTTGGTATATTTTTATGGTCCTTCGGGATAATTGATTCCGGAATTTTCAATTGTTGAAAATTGTGTACCGCTCAAACCGGTGAAAAGGGTCATGAGCTATTTTGCACTTTTTCATAAACCCTCATATACAGACTCAATCAAACCATGTCTTCAATTTTCATGTAATTTGGTTTTGATTAATGCTTCCGATGGATTACCCTTTCTCCGCATTTTTGTTAAGACAATTCTTTGTAATAAAATTATAATGTTTGTGACACATTTTTACTTTGATATCTGTATTGTTAAACATGTCTTAGAAATAGGGTTAAAATATAGGTTTTTTAGTGACTTTTTTTTGTGGCATTTAACATCTAAAATTGAAACAACAATAGAATGTAATTTTACTTACATTTTTAGGCTTAAGATTTGCGCAAGGTTAAATTTACGCCTGATTTTTTAACGTTATTGCGTTTTACTAAAAGATTGCGTACGTACGAATTTCGTAAGTTTTTACGCAATGATACGCTTAAAATTTGCTGACTTAAAACTTAAAAAAAGAATGACATCATTCATGAATAATGGCAGAGAAGGAAGCGAGAATTTTAGAGACGGACGTGACTAGTTAGATATTTTAATGGTGAAAGTGGGTCTAGAAAATTTCATTTTTAGTAAGGAAAGGATAATTACGGGGTTATTAAAAATGACATTTAGTAAAAAAGACAAATACGAAAGTGGAAGTCATCATATCAGATTAAAGGCAAAAGTATTTTATTATATTCTTCTTTTAAAAATATACTGGTACCCCATATTAACCTTAGTCATGGTTGACCTTGACTCAGTTATTAAGTGTTTAATAGATTTTGATTTTCACAAGCTTTTGATGCTTAATGTAGATTTATTACTAGTAAGAATTTTATAAATGAAATAATGTTTATTCAAACTCACTAAATTTGTTTGATTTGAAGTTAGTGAAGAAGGGAGAGTATCTAATTGTTAGTTTGTTCCTGTATTCGTCATAAAATGGTAATGTCGAGATTAATTTCTTAAATACTATGTTTTCCGTGAAATAAAATGATGCTGAACTTTGTGCGAATAAAATTGTATGATTTGTAAATGTCATAATTTTTTTAGCAGTTATTTTGAAAATATTCATATAGTAATTCACTTAAACACTTAAAAGTTACACTTCGATGATGACTAAAAACTTTAATATGTTTTGTTTGCATGTACATGTACTATTCTAACGCGTTGTCGCTGAACGTTTTGCGTCATCATCTTTACGCATGTATTTCTCGTGTTTTAGTGTGAAATCGTCAAGAAGCAGTTTGAACAGTTTATTGAAAATGCTGGGCCTCATAGAGGCATCAGTCACATATACAATAATATATACATATAGTATGACATATAAAGAGATATCCACGAAATATGCTGACGTATTACATGGCAAATATAAATAAAAAATGAAAGTGTTACATTATGAAAATAAGCTTAGTTATCAGTTACTTAAATGCTGAAATAATTTTTTTACAGAATACTGCAAGTTTTAACAATATACTCCTATCTGTGCTATTCATTAACATAGAGAAAACTTGATTGAATTAACATTAGTACTAATTACTCTCTAGTAATATATTTTTTTCTATCAGTATTAAAGAATTGACAATTAAAAAATAATGATATTCATCACCAAGTGAGCTATTATTGCATAAATTACACACTCTTAATTCTCTTGGTATATTAACAAAATCTACCAGACTCAATAGGCATTTTATGGTTCATACATCTAAAGCGCAATAGTACCAAAGCTAAATGAGATGGTAAAATATCTAAAAACTTTTCAAATCTGAATTCACTTTTGTACATTCTACAATTCAGACATTTACTTGATTGTGACATTTCACTATGCCAATTTTGAATGAACTGATCTTTCAGTCTATTTTTAACAATTTTCTTAAACAATGGAAGAGAAGTGGCAACATTTACTTGGTAGTCATAAAAACAACAACAACAACAAAATAACAACAAATATATAGGTTACGTGTATAAGCTAAATATTTCATATCGTAGTGAGTAAAAAATCCACATTTCACTTGCGGAAAACATTACCAGTTTTCTCACATTTCAGTGAGATATATAACATATTCACTTTAAACAAACAAATATCCTCTAAATATGTTCAACATGAAATAGCTACATGTATGGGTTATTTTAACCGCTCTATATATACATTATTTAAACTCGAGAAAAAACGCTGTGTCGATGGTCGATGGTATTAAAGTATGCGCT